TGCGGTCCTGGAATTAAGCGGAGAGGGATCCAGCAGCAGCGGCAGCAACACACATCAAAACGAACGAGTGTTCACCACGATCATCATCCCAGATTTTCGTGTTGTAGGAAACAGAACAACTCAGCCAGCAGCAGCAAGTTCCACCTTTACCGGAACACCACTATTATCATAAATGTATTTTTCCTATTATAGTAATAGCAGTATACAGCCAGCAGTGTTGGAGGTGATGGTCCCGCCCCAAAAGACATGTTGTTGCCTTGTACAGCACGCAGGTTTTCTCCGTAAAAAAACAGTTCGTAGCCTGTCGTTGCGTTTGTAGCTACAGGCGGGTTCATATGACTTCTATTATATATGGAGTACCAGTAATTGTAGGAGTATAACATTTTTTGGGGTAAGTTAGCCCGTGACCACGGGAATCCACCGGGTGTTCGACCATGTAGTACGGACAGATAGACGGATGTGCGGGTAGAGAGAGATCGGAACGGTTCTTCATGTGAAACAACAACAATTTAGCCCTTGTGCCTTGTGCCTCCGCAGAGAGGGGAGTAAAATAGGGTCTCCAACAGGGGTCCCGTTTTTTTTTTTTTCGCTCTGATCATGACAGCAGCAGCAAAATAAAATAAAAAAAACGTCATTTGTGTGTGTCGGAGGAGCGGAGGAGGGCGAGGCAAGCAAAGATTGGTATCGACGGCGGCGTGCGTTGTGTTTTATACTTCTTGTGCTTCACAGAGACTTGCCGTCTTCTACTTCTCGCCTGACAGGGGCAACAAAGGAGAGAACGAACCAAACACACATGACCTGCGATCCGACTTCGGGAATCGTCTCAATCAACAACAACACCCAGCGGCCGGGGTGCATGCGTGTACACAGATGAGATGGAGACAAACGCGCTCTCTCTCTCACGCCACCAACGCCGACCAAACAGCAAACGATGCGCCACAATTGCTGTGCTTTCTGAGTCGGCGCTTCGGCGTATCGCAAGCGAAGGGATGTGAGAAATCGAATTTTTGATCAGTTCTGCCGCCGCTCTCCCAATCTCTGGACACAAGGGCTGTGCAGTCAAAAGAGCAATAAAAAAGGCAACACCACGCCCACAGGGAAAACATTTGCGCGACGCACAACAACTTATCCGCCGCCGTGGAAGAATACGGCAGGGCCAGGAGAGGCTGGCAGAAGTCTCAGCACGTCCGCGTAACCCCGCTGTTGTGCTCTTCGTCTCCCTCCTCCTCTCCTTTCTAGTTCCCCCGCCTTCACTTAAAACCGACTTAGTCTGGGCCCCGCAAACATAGGGTTCCTCTCTCCTCCCTCACCCCGCAGGCGGCGCTCTATCTCTGGCTCTCTCTCCCTATCTCACCTTTTCGACCGTGTTCTTGTCGTAGCCGTGCTCGTCTGCCTCATCACTCGCGCACAATGTCATAACCTGACCCATGGTTTTTGCTCTTGCGGGTAGCTCGTCAGGGCCTTCTCCTTGCTTGCTATCCCCCTTGGCTAACCCCCGTCTCTCCGCTCTAGCTGCTGTGTGTTTTGTTTGTCTGTTGTGTTCTCCTGCATCGGGCACGCGCTGGGGCTCCGTGAAATGAATGCTATACGTTCGTACTCGATTCTGAAGGCCCCCCACCAACCTTTTTGCCGACACTGGACAACACCTTCACAATTTTGTCTCACGCATATTCACATCGTTTTCAGCAGGCACGCACCAGGCAACGAACAGGTGAGTGACTGGCGTTTTGATGTGCAGATGTGTTTTGTTGATACGTGGAGCTTGTGGCCGAGCTGAAAGAGAGAGTAAGACCCGGCGGATGTCCGAACATCGACCAGTCGAGACAAGCAGCTGCCCGAAAAAGTTGAGGTAAATACAGCAGTACTCTGTAACTTGTAGTACCACAACAATGTCATCATCTCCTGCCTTTTTTCGCCAAGAGCACAGCAGTTTTTTCTCACTCTCGCCCCCCTTAGGGCGAGTGCTATGCCACGCACACTCCTCCGGTCCTTGGCGGGAGAAGGAATTACCCTTCCGCTTGTCGCACTCGCGTGTGTTGGCGGTAACGATCTATCTCTCCCGCGGGTCTCCTGAGTCTCTTGATGTCTGATGACCAGATGATCAGTCAAAATAGACTACAGCGGGCAGCAGACACAGCAGCGGAATTTTCTTTTGTCTTTTCGTGTCTCGGCGGGTGGTCTGTCCTCCTCTCGCGTGTCTTTGCCCGGTCCAGTGGTCTGTGTCCCTTCCGTACGTGGTGCTCGGTCGGTCGGTTTTTTTCGCTCCCTCGAGAGGGCTTCCAAACGAAGTGCGTGTAGTCGACGTGCTCCGAGCTCCGAGGACGGAAAATAAATGCGTTGCTTTCTTTTTTGGCAGCACAGCTCGGCTCCTTTTTTTTTTTTTTTTGTCTCCACTTCACATCCCTGGGCTCAAGCGTT